AAAAAAAAAAAAAAAGTAATTAAGAACTTGGATGTTAATTCCTAAGATCACACCCGAGTAGCTGTATTTTTTGCCTGGCGGTCTTATGCATTAGATTCATATAATCCTATGTCTCCCTCTGCTTTTTTTTTCCATTTTGTTTTTAATGCACTTTTTGACTGCTTCATAGCCATTGTCCCTTTCCGAAGCCAATGGAAAAATAGTGTCTCATGAAGTGTCATGCTACCTGCTAGATACACCGCTGGAGTATAAAGAAGTCACCGAACCATCACATAGTACTGAGATAAAGCTTGGAAAAAACGATTGCGTAATTAGCGTTGTAGCCAAAAATCACGCAGGCTCATCTCCCCCTACAAAGATAATGAGCGTGGAACTGCCGAGTGGTGAGTGCTCACAGCAGATGTCTAAGCACCATGTCGGCTTGGAGAGTATCTGGGCAAGCAAGCTCGTTTATTGAAAAATGAGGCGATGTGCTTTGTTTGCTTTCGTTTGGAGGGTTTCGTGCCACCCAAATCTACATGCGCTGCTTCACTTTGATGCAGTGTCTCACCAAGCTGATAGAGTGCAATGTCTGCAGCTATGTTGCGCTTTTCTGGAGACTTCCTGGGAGCAACAAGGGTCATTGACACCGATTGGTCTCTGACATTTAGGGAACTCAGTTTGTTTCTGTGTGTTCTTGTTGAGATGCGGAAATGTTGTACATGCTACAGAGAATCAAAATATGGTTGTGAGGGCATGTTGTGTGCCGCCTTAGGTGAGCGATTATCATATCAGGAATTCTGAGCTCTCTATATTATTTATGTTATATAAATATTATTCAGCCTATTTGGAAAAGCATTTGCCTCCTTGTGTTGAAAGCTGGGGTTTGAAAAGAAAGTGGTCTTAGCTTCCCAATTAAGTCCCAAGTCTCACTCTTGCTGTGGACTTCTGTGAAGTGAGGTAGCTGAGATGGAAAATTATTTTCATGAAAATATTTGTATAGGTCTTCTAGAGCAAAAAGAGAACTAGATTCTGGGAGTGGTAGAAGTCTCTCTAGTACAGGTTTGTGGTGTTGGACAGACGATGGCAGCTGGAGCTTTGCAAATCATTTGCAGCTTTCACTTGGAAGGAACTCTCGGAAGTCTGAGGTTCCCCTTAGTGTTACCCAGCTTGTACTCTAGAAGATTTTTTTTTCCCAAGTAGTATAGGAATTATCTGAGTCACTGACTTGAGACACAAAATGTGACTCATTCAGTGAACTGCATGACATTTATACCCAAACAGTCTCTTGGCTGCTTCCTGTGTACACAAGTACTTTTTAGGTCCATAGGAAAGCAGTGGCTCTGAAGTTTGAGATCTGCTGATGCGGCTTCGTGGACACTTAAAACAGGCAGAGGATTTTCTGCCTTAATTCTTCTGTCACCGTCTCTGAAAAGTGCTCTGTAGAGAGCTGAGGACGTGTAATCTGTCTGCCACTTGCTCCATTGTAGGACTGGGCTGCTACAAGTAGCAGAAATACACCAAAAAGAGCAAGAACTCTGTGGTCCTCATGACAGATACAGAACTCTGCTCATTAGTGTCCAGTGTGAATCTTCTGTCTTCTGGCTCAAGATGTAATATTCAGTGTAGTTTACTGAAAAATTTTTAGATGATATGTGCTCACTGTCCATGGAGTATTTTCTGTAGATAGAATAGCTGAAGCAGTTTCATTAGAAATAATGATACTCTCTTCATATAAATTCTCAGCATCACAGAAATGTGGTTTCACTGGTTGTGTAATAGGAGTGGGGAAAAGTTTTTTTTTTTTGCAGGGGGAAAAGTATTGAAGTACCTTTGGAGTTTGACTTCTCTTGGTTAAACTATATCTGTTTTTCTCTCTATGAACAAATGAGAAAAAGGCTAAATACTTTGGTATATATTAGCAATGTTTAGAAATGTGCAGTCCTTCAACATTCACAGCACGGCTGTGAGAATCAAGTTTTCACAACATTGCCTCTTAAAAAACTGCCCTTTCCCTTCAGCCCCCCATGGTGTAGGGCTTTAATGACATGAAATAATTGACTCCATAGGGGGGCATAAATGAGAACATTGGAAAAGAAAAACTGAAACCCAAAGGTTGTTTTTGAAGATCTGTCATGAGGCCCACAGCTGTTGTCGTGGCCTTTGGAAAATATCCACGAGCTCGGCAGGACCCTTCCTGACAGGCAGCCATAGAGGGAAACCGCTGGAATGAGATGTCAGTCTCCAATCTTGTGAGCTCAAGGGCAGCTAAAATTTTAACAACAACAACAAAAAAAAAAGGCAAAAGAAGGCAGAGGTTTTTTTGTTTGTTTTTTTGTTTTGTTTAAATTATCTTTGGTGTTCTGCAGTCTCCACAAAGTTCACTGGGTACTTGTCTTTTGCTGTCGATTCTTGGTGAAAAATTGTGTGTGGTTGGGCAAGAGGCTTTGAAAGAAACGCACAGCAAACCTGTAGATGGAATGACAGGAGGAATTTGTAGCTGGGGGCTCCTGCCAAATTGGTGTCAAGTCAGATTTGAACATGACATCTGCTGTAAGTGCTTACCTTGAAAATGTGCTTTCTTAGCCGGGCCTGCGCTACAGCACTTCTCATCCTCCTGCTCCAGCCGGGCTGCAGGATTTGCCGCAGGCTGTGCCTGGTCTCTGGCACTCCAGAAAGCAGAGCCGAGCGCAGCGTGTCGGCTGTCACGGCACCGGCAGCGTCCTCCACTCTCTTAGAAATGACTGTGGTTTGCAGCGACTGCGTGCCGTGCCTGGGAGGCTTTCTCGTGGCACATCTAGCTGTCTGCTTGCTGATGGGTTTTTGTGTCACTTTCGTCACAGACGATGTCAGAACAGAGCACGCCGTTGCACTGGGGAATGGAATTTATATTTCTTGGACTTCTTACCCCAATGTGACCTGTGGCTACATTGTAAAATGGTGTCATTCATCTGGGGCTGAGCCCTGTAGCGTGGACTGGCAGAAATTTCCTTCAAACACAACAAATGCAGTGATAAAATCCGGTAAGTCAGAAATGAAAGTTTTTATGAATCTCTCTGCTTCAGAGGTTGATTAGAAAGTGAAAAGAGAACATTTCCAGTACTATAGATCAAAGGTTGTTGTGTTGCTGTGTGCTTGTGTATATAACTGAACCTCTTCTTGGTGTTGCGTTTATTTTGATTTCTAATGCTGTCCTGCCAAATCCAAATATTCAGTCTTGGTTTAACTGTCATCATCCTGTTTTATTAACTATTTTGAAATCATCTTTTTAACTGCACCTAAAAGCTCCCTCATTCAGCTCTAAACTTCCTAAAACTTCCTAATGCATAATGGTTAATTTGCATGGTTTTGAATTTTATTCAGATGCTAAGCATAAACTGTACTGCCTGGGACAGAGGGGAAACTTATCTGTTGTTTGTACATGAGGCAGATATTTTAAAGTGTGACCTCTATATGCTGGCTTGCTGTCAGTAATTGAAATTTCCTGGAACAGGGCACAGTCCAGGTCTCTAGATGCTGGTGGGCAGATCAGGGAAATGAGACTCAGCTGTGGTGGGACTAGTAGGAACAGAAGAGGAAAGAGAGCACTCAAGAAAGATATTGGATTTTTTGCTGCTTCCTGTAAATAATATTTATTTGCTTTTTAGAAGAGATTAATATATAAAGTCTCCATGAGAGAAAACAGTTTAGAGCTGTGTATATGGGGATTTTGACAGGGGGCAATAGTATTGTTCATAATGTAGTTACAACACTTTGTCCATGCTGGGTTTGTTTGCGTTGGCTCTAGCTTGCTTTTCCTACGCAGACAATACGGGGTTTGTCCCGGGATGCACTGATCTCCTCCTGAGCTCTGTGCCGGGATGTTTCTTGGGGCAAATTGTAGGAGCTACAAGGCTGCTACGGCTCAAACCAGCCTTGTGCCAAGTCCTGCAAGGAGAATCTTTGAAGCTGGACCTGAGCCCTTGCAGAAACCCTCCTGACTGCTCCAGTGGGTCACAGTGGCATCTTGCTTAGGGGGAAAAATGGGCAGAGGATTGATTTGATACATATCAGTTTTATGCGTCAGAGTTCAGACCTGGATTTCATTGTTGGAGTGATTCAGTATCACTTTTGAGAGTTCTCCAAGTTACTTTTGACTCTGTTTCAGTAACAGGCCTGTGTGTTTTAAGGATATATTTTGTATTTCTGAGTAAGCAGGATCTATGTAGCTACTGTAGGGGGCATCAGAAGGGATTGTTTCTGTAACTTGTGGTTCCTCACGGAAAGAGCAATTTAATGCAATTCCAGCAGATTGTTTTCCATTCTATTTGTTTAGAATTGAAATTGCTCTGAGAGCTACATTTCTTTTTTTTTTTCTCTCTTATCTTGTTTTTCTTTTTTCCCTACTGCCTCTAAACTGTGTTTGATGGCATAGCTTTTACAGGAATTGCAAATGAGGATAACATTGATATCTAACACTGTGGTCTAAGATTTAATGATTTTTTTTTAGTATATACTTAAATGTGTGCATTATCTGAGAGCTAAAAGCATCATTCTTCCCAAGCCAAATCTTCACAGTAATTTTCTGTTATAGCACTGTTTAGACCTGGTGTGAGATACAACTTTTCACTATACGGCTGCAAATCCAGCGGATATCAGTTGTTGAAGAACATAACTGGGTACATGAAAGAGCTGCGTAAGTGTGCTTTGTTGTTCAGAATCATTACAAAGTGGAATTTGTAACTATGCCTATTTTTAATTCAATGTTAGTAAAAGATTATTGAGAATGGAATAGTACCAGTGACTTCCACAATGTCTTCATATGCAGCTGCAATGTAATTCTCAGAGCCAGTAATCTTTTAGTTTCTCAGATGTCACCAGCAGCATATTTGCAGTTCAGACTGTGCAGCATGTGGTTATATGAAAGCAGCTGTTCTCAGTTCTCAGCATCCTGGTGTCCTCCAGCTCTCCTGTGGCAAGGCATGAGCAAAAGCTTGCTATGAAAATGTCATTGCAGAGCTGGAGGCACAGGGATAGTTTGAACTGCAGGGACGGGGTTGCTTCCCCAAGAAGGCAGGGAACTTTTCTTGTTTTTTCAAGTTGAACTAAGCTTCTGAGCATGGGAGCGCAGGATGTCTAAGAGATGTCCACAATGTTGCCGATTAAATACTGCACTTCTTAGACTATTTTGCTTTGGAGTTTAGCTTGGCTTTGTGGAATAATTGCTTGGAAAAGTAAGCTGATCACATAATCTGAGCCCATGGATATATCCTTGTTTATTTCAGTGTTAGGACTGACGATGAGATTTGGACATTATTATCAAACACTTGGAAGAAGATTTCTTGGAAGATGGTTTTTCAGTGGATTCTTAACAGAATTGGAAGCTTCCAAGATAAAAGAGAATTTTGGGGGTGAAGGAGAAAATCCATACTGAAAAAAACCTTATTAGGAATTGAAAAATTTACTCACTTTGCTGAAGAGCAAAGATATATTTTCAAACTTCATAATTGCCTTGGATGAATAGCCATGAAGACAAAATAGATGCATGCTTAAACATGAGTTCAGCTTTGGTAGACAGTCACAGATTAGTGATAAATGTCAGTCCATATCCTGTTATGTGACCTTATACAGTATCTGCTGTGGTATTTTCGGTGGAGTCTAGATATTGGAATAAGGATTTGCAGTGCCTGCTAAGAACTAATCCTTTTAAACAGAGATAGATTTCCTTGATAGGAATGTGAGCTTTGTTTAATTTAAATGCAAGCAATGTAGTCACAGAGTTAAAGCTTTAAAAAACCTAAACACTTCAGCTTGCATGCTCTGAATGTTTGTGCAAACTTTCTGGGTTTGTTGCAGGAAGAGGGGTATATTGCATATGTGTCAGCAAGAAGGCTGTTTGAGGAAATTTTTTCATTCAGCTTCTATTGGTAGAGAAAATTGCAGTATTTGCTGATAAGGAGACAGATATACTGATCACTTTGGAGGATCACCTACTCTGTTCTTTTACAGGTCCTTGAGAGTGAGAGAAGTGTATTCAGGAAAGAGCTGAACATACTAGCCCTGAAAAAAGTTGTTTCAACACTTATTATTATATTATTCCCTATATATATTCTATTATTATTCTATAATATTTTACATTTAATGATAGTGTGCTTTCTTACTACCTTTCTCATTAATAATTCTCCCTGCAGCTCCAAAACGTGCACCAAATTTTACTGTAGAAGAAACATCTTCTGATTCGATATTGGTAAAATGGGAAGACATTCCTATTGAGGATTGCCAGGGGTTTCTAGAGGGATATCGGCTTTCCTTTGCAAAAGGTGAAAAAGATGCTTTAAAGCCTAGGCTTTCAGAATCAGGTAAGTGAAATCTGTAGTTTGTAACTTCCCCATTCAAGCGTTTTTTATTCTCTAATACTTAAATTTCACTTTAGAAAAAAAAAACAAGTTTTAATTATAGTTCAGTTGCTTTACTCAGTGACAGGATTAGTGCCTGATATGTGGCAAAGGCATTTGGAAGATGAGCTTCTTTGCATTGGCAGCGCAGTTATTCTTTAATATGAGGCAAAAGTCAGAGAAAGCAGTGACTCACCGGGGCCATGGAGCTGTGCGGTGGCTATGTGACAGTGTGACACACTGCCCAGTGTACAGACACACCAGCTAAGTTATGGGTAGGCTATATTTAATCAGGTGTAGCCTTCCATTATCTGTAAGGACATGTCTGTACAGAAGTGAACCCAAGTTCATTAACAT